GCAAACCTGCTGGTCCAGTGGCTAACGCGTCGGTTTGGAGTTTTATGAGACTCTGACCGCGAGTTCTAACCCCACCCGTGGTATGGTTTGGTTACCAGACTGTTGTGGGTCACATCAAAGTGGAAATGTATTAGATAACATTTCTTTTAAGTTTGTAAACAGTAAATTAAATGTTTAAGACGAAGTTCAAATGACGTCAAAATCACTGAGGTTTCGGGGGTCAACGCCCCCGCGGCTTGGTCAGTGACCAGGCCTCGTGGTGGATCAGGGCCTGATCAACCAGGTTGTTGCTGTTGGCTGCAGGCAAACCGGCGTAGGAACCACAGCCTGGCTGGTCAGGTACTGACTTTAGGTGCCTGTCCAGCGCCTTCTTGAAGACAGTCAGGGGTCTTGAAGACAGCCAGGGGTCTTGAAGACAGCCAGGGGTCTTGAAAACAGCCAGGGGTCTTGAAGACAGTCAGGGGTCTTGAAGACAGCCAGGGGTCTTGAAGACAGTCAGGGGTCTTGAAGACAGCCAGGGGTCTTGAAAACAGCCAGGGGTCTTGAAGACAGTCAGGGGTCTTGAAGACAGCCAGGGGTCTTGACAGCCAGGGGTCTTGAAGACAACCAGGGGTCTTGACAGTCAGGGGTCTTGAAGATAACCAGGGGTCTTGAAGACGTCAGGGGTCTTGAAAACAGCCCGGGGGGCTTGAAAACAGCCCGGGGTCTTTAAGAAGCCCGGGGGTTTGAAGACAAACCAGGGGTCTTGAAGACAGCCCGGGGTTTGAGACAGTCAGGGGTCTTGAAAACGCCCCGGGGTTTTAGACGCCGGGGGGCTTTAAGGGCAGCCAGGGGTCTTGAAGCAGCCAGAGGTTTGAAAACAAACGGGGCTTGAAGACAGCCAGGGGTCTTGAAAACAGCCGGGGGCTTGAAGACGCCAGGGGTCTTGAAAAAACCCCGGGGGCTTGACAGCCAGGGGGCTTGAAAAACAACCAGGGGTCTTGACAGCCGGGGTTTGAAAACAACCGGGGTCCTGAAGACAGCAGGGGTCTTGAAAACAACCAGGGGTCTTGAAAACGCCGTCTTGAAGACAACCGGGTCTTTAAAAACCCCAGGGGTCTTGAAGAAGCCTGGGGTCTTAAGAAGTCGGGGTCTTTAAGCAGCAGGGGTCTTGAAGACAACCGGGGTCTTGACAGCCGGGGTTTGAAGAAAACCAGGGGGCTTGAAGACAACTGGGATCTTTAAGACAAACCCGGGGTTTGGAGACGCCCAAAGGGGCTTGATGATTCCCGGGGTCTTTATGATTTCCCAGGGGTTTGGGCAGGGGTCTTGAAGACAACAGGGGCTTGAAGACCCCAGGGGTCTTGCAGCCCGGGTCTTTAAGACAACAGGGGTCTTGACGTCAGGGGTCTTTTAAACAAGGGGGCTTGAAGACACCCAGGGGTTTGATGATACCCAAGGGTTTGAAGAAAACCCCGGGGTCTTGCAGCCGGGGTCTTGGGGACACCCCGGAGTCTTTACAGCCAGGGGTCTTGATGATACCCCGGGTCTTGGATTCCCAGGGGTCTTTTAAGAAAAAAGGGGGCTTTACAGCCCGGGGTCTTGAAGACAGCCCGGGGGTTTGAAAAACACCCGGGGTCTTAAAGCCAGGGGTCTTGGACAACCCGGGGTTTGACGCCCGGGGGTTTTAAGTCAGGGGTTTTGAAGCACCGGGGGGCTTGAAAACCAGGGGTCTTAAGACAACCAGGGGTCTTGACAGGGGTCTTGAAGAAGCCAGGGGTCTTGAGAAGCAGGGGTCTTGAAGACAGCAGGGGTCTTGAAAACAGCCGGGGCTTTTAAAAAGCCTGGGGGGGCTTTAAGACAGCAGGGGTCTTGAAAACAGCCCGGGGGGCTTGAAGATGCCGGGGTCTGAAGCGCCAGGGGTCTTAAAAACCAGGGGTCTTGCAGCCAGGGGTCTTTGGGGACAACCAGGGGTTTGAAGACACCGGGTCTTGTACCCCCGGGTCTTGAAGACACCCCGGGGGCTTGACAGTCGGGGGCTTGAAGACAGCCCGGGGTCTTGAAAACGGGCCCGGGGGCTTGAAGACAGCCCGGGGGGCTTGAAGACAGCCCGGGGTCTTTAAGACTGCCAGGGGGGCTTAAAAACCGGGGGTCTTGACAGCCAAGGGCTTGAAAACAACCAGGGGTTGAAGCGCCCGGGGGTTTTAAAACAACCGGGGTCTTGAAAACAGCCCGGGCTTAAAAACCCCGGGTCTTGAAAACAGCCAGGGGCTTTAAAACAAACCCCGGGGTCTTGAAAAAAACCCGGGGTCTTTAAGACAGCCCGGGGTCTTTAAGACCCCAGGGGTCTTTAAAACAGCCAGGGATCTTGAAGCAACCCGGGGGTTTTTGGGATGCAAGGTTTTGAAAACAACAAGGGATTTGAATACAGCCAGGGCTTTAAGACAACCGGGTCTTGAAGCAGCAGGGGTCTTGAAGACAGCCAGGAGGCTTTAAGAAACCCGGGGTTTGAAGCCCGGGGGGCTTTAAGACAACCAGGGATCTTGAGACAATGGGGGTTTTAGAAGCCCAAAGGGGGTTTAGCACCCCGGGGGCTTTTTGTTTTCCCCGGGTCTTGACGCCGGGGTCTTGGGAAAAAAACCAGGGGTTTGAAGACAACCAGGGGTTTGAAGACACCCGGGGTTTTGTAGAACCCAGGGGGGCTTTACAGCCAGGGGGTTTTAAGACAGCCGGGGTTTGACAGTCGGGGTCTTTACAAAAAGGGGTCTTTACAGCCAGGGGTCTTTAAGACACCCAAAAGGGTTTAAGACAACCAGGGGTCTTGACAGGGGTCTTGAAGACGCCGGGGTCTTGAAAACAACCGGGTTCTTGAAGAAGCCAGGGGGCTTTAAGCAACCCGGGGTCTTGAAGCACCAGGGGTCTTGTAGAACCAGGGGGTTTGAAGCCAGGGGTCTTGAAGACGCCAAGGGTCTTGACAGTCAGGGGTCTTGATGATACCCAGGGGTCTTGAAGACAACCCGGGGTCTTGAAACAACCCGGGGGTCTTGAAGACATAGGGGGGCTTAAAACAAACCCGGGGTCTTGAAGACAGCCCGGGTCTTGAA